CTCGGCAGTTTTTCAAGGCTCATGCGCAGTTCCTCCTCGGCGTGGACTGCCCGTACGCCGAGTCTGCTGCCGTTTCGTCTTCGGGTCTAGATCTCATCCCCAAAGGCGGCCACCCCCCCGCGATTCGCGTGAGGAGTGGCGTTCGGGCCCCCCAACCCCCCGCGTCTGCTTATCTCCCACTGAGTCAGGATACCTGTACGACAAACTGGCCGGGCCTCCTCGCTTCCACCTGGTCCTTTTTGCCTCTTCGCTGGCGGGCACCGAAGTGCGGCGGCGCGTTGATGCGTTCCTTCGATGTTTGAATGACCCGAAGGGCTTTTATGCCCGTCTCGGTGGGCCGTCCCGCTTCAATGTTGTAGTCATCCTGAAGATGCTACCATTCCAGTGGAGCGGCGCCAACGTGGACCCTGGACTGGCTGCTGTCAGAGACGCGCTGCCGGAGGGCGCGACGGTTGTCTTCGATGACAAGGCGCCTGATGAGGATGCCCATACCGTGTGGGGAGCAAACCATCTGACTGGCGGCGTCGCGGTTATCCGGCCGGACCTGTGGGTTGCTTCAACGTCTTTCCCCGACAGGATGGAAGGTGTGTCTGGACTCTTTGAAGGTTTCCTGATCTAGTCGACCACATCCGTGTCCTTGTAGTGCTGTATGGCTGTTGGATGTAGGCGATGATGGCTGCGTTCGTATAGCGAGAAAAAAAAAGCAGATGCTCAGTGTTAAAGGAAATATTGTGATACTTCTTGAAAATGGGTAGGATGGAGAAAAGCCAGAAAGGCCTCGATGCGCGTCCACGTCAGTCCCCCTTAACGAGACACGCGTCAGGGCATCTGGGGCTGTACCAACAAGTCATTTAATGCTGCGCACAGGGCGTTCCCTGTTCAACGTCAGGCGAGATTTCAGCTGTTGTGTCAATCGACACCTACGAGTCGAGATTGCAGCGCTGTGCCCGAGGTTCCCCTTTTTCTGCCTACGACGACGCTCCGACAGCATATTTGAGTTAGATGTTGTACTTGCGAAAGCTGTTTTTGTAGTCTGAGAATTTGCAACCTCGGCTTGGAGATGGGGTTGGTCTGGAAGAGCATCGACTTCAGCGTGGACCAAAGTAGCGGCATCCATCAACGCATTTGTATTGTCATTTCAGATCACGCAATCGGAAAAATAGTCTAAGGGATGGACCTATATAGATATGTACATGAAGTATAATTACTTTATCTTCCCAATTTCTGCATCAGGAGCCGCTCCTGACCAGATAAAAGTGGCTTTGGGATCCAATCATGGACAGCTCCTGTGCCAAGTCTCTTCTTAGCGGAGAGCTGTCGCATGGAGTGCATTTTGATAGTGCCAATCTGAGAAGCATCTATTCAGAGTTTGTGCCTCTGGTGGCATGCTTCACCCCCCCAGGAGATAGAAGCTCAGATGGACGCGAGGAAGCTCAAGGTATCCTGCATGACCAACGGTGCGGTGCGGTGGTACAATAAGGCGTGGCCCGTGTCTTTGTACACCTTGACAACGTGCTCCGAAGTCAGGGGAAATTGGTCGTAGACCCCGTATGGCTTGCTGCCGCACTTTCGCGGGCAAAACGTCGAGTCGTGGTCTCCGATACCCAGGAACACAGGGCCCTCGTACTTCGGAGCCTCCACAAGATGAAAGGAGAACGTGATGGCCATGCCCAGGGTGTCCAGGTCCCTTGTTTCGAAATCCGCCAAAGCCGCCTCCTCCTCAAAGTCCCCGAAGAAACAGGCTACTTGGCGCGCCTGGAGCGTGGGCTGGGTTTGGTAGAAGGGGTCCCTGTCGCCCCAACGTGCGGGGTCCACAACGCTCGCCGTTGTCTGCAACCCAGCCAGGAAGGCGGGATACAACCACTCGCGATCCCAGGTGATACCTAGGAGGACGAGCGAGTCCGCATCTTCGGGAAACTTGTCGGCGACAGCATTGGCGACGATAGCGCCAATGGAGAAGCCGACAAGAGATATTTTGCTAAAGGACTGACCAAGAAGGTTCTCGGTGCGGATAGACTGGACAATCTGATGGGTCGTCTGGACGAAAAGCTCAGTCTGCACGTCGAAGAGGCCGTCAGGATGGGAGCTATTGCCGCAGCCTAGGAGTGTCGTCAGTAGGACAGTCAAGACAAGTCGATCCATTTGTGATGGGAAACGGACATGCGAAAAGACGGGGGGGTGGGGTGGGGGTGGTAAATACCGATGTAGTCAATGGCCAGGGTCGTATACCCAGCATTCGCCATGAATCTGACCCAGCTGTGTGTCTCGGGCTTGTAAGGGAAGTCCCACATGTGTTTGTTGAAGGTGGCGCCATGCATCAAGAGCTGAAGCGTATCTTTGCGCTCGACACCTGGTGGCGGGTCGCATATACGGGCTGACATCTCATAATCGCCATCGACGAGAACCTCGCGTCCAGCCCAGGCATAGAGCGACTCGATATTGTAGTCATCGAGGGAGAGCTCAGCCTCAACCGTCTTGTTGACTGAAATCGGGATGGTGAAGTCGCGGCACAAGGGGAGGCTGTCCGTAGTGTTGGCCGAGTGGGCTACGCGATCTGGTGGTGTTAGGGGAGAGGGAGAAGATGATTCCGAATCAATTCAGAGAGCACAGAGAAAACGAACCAATTTTAGCTGGCGTGCCACTGACGACAGCCCTGGCTACGGTGGGTTGAACGCCGAGCAGCAGCCACTGCGCGGAATGGCTAAGGGCGAAGGCAAGGTAGCGCATTTTGAGGTTGTGTAGATACGGACAATGATGCGATGATTTGAAAGCCCGAGAGCATCAATGTCTGTTATGATGATATATGATGATATACATGGCAACTAGGTCCCAAAAGCTGTCGTCGGTTGCCCCGAACCCCTGCATAGGTGTTCCAGGACCGGAGTACAGAGTGGAGGCTCCGAAGATCCCCTGGGAAATGATGTTCAGGTCCCGGAGGCTCGCCACCAGCCGCATGGTAAACCAATTTTGCAAAAGAATTTCCCTGTCAATTTCATGGCTGATTTCTAGCGTACAACTGGTTTAAAGCTGCCATTAGAAAGGGGACCCTGTGTCGGCTCGATTGAGCACGTTGGACCTACCCACGATCGCTCGTTGTACATCACAACTCTTCTCTACTTGTTCACGCTTCCTAAGCGGAGCCCAGCCCTCCTCCACCGTTGAGCAGAAACTTTTGAATGGCATCTAAGATGATTCATTTCCTCATCCCTGTGGCTGCTGTCGTTCTTCCAGTCATCGTGGAGGCGCAGCAGGACATTCCCTACCAAGGCTCACCCGTTGCTACGTGTGTAAGTGGTGATGATACTTTCACCGTGCCTTCTGTATTTCTTCAGAATCGATCCGGCTGACACATGACGTATTTAATAGTGCTCTGCCCTGGCAACTCAGTTCCCCAATGCGACCTTTGCGCGGGATGACTCAACCTCCTCTGCCTATTACCTTGAAAAAACAGCGTTCTGGTGTAAGAACTGAACGGCATCATCCTCACAATCATCTCTTGCTGTGCTAACTGCTGTGACCTGGGCTCCTCAGCTGCTACCGCTTGGCTCAGCCCATCTTGTGTCTTCCTCCCTAGTAGCACCACCGAGGTGTCGACAGCTGTCTCTCTTTTCAATGATCATGACTGCCCCTTCGCCATCCGCGGCGGCGGACACAGCGCAAATCGAGGGGCCGCCAACATCGACAACGGCATCCTTGTCAGCATGCGCAACATCCGAGACGTAGCCTTCTCCGCCGACAACACAACTGTTACTACAGGCATGGGAAACACCTGGTCCCAGCTCTACGCCATCATTGAGCCTCTTGGCTACATGGTAGTTGGCGGCCGTTTTGCTACCGTCGGGACTGGCCTAGCTCTGGGTGCGGGCTTCTCTTACTTCATCAACGATAAGGGTCTGGCTGTTGACAACGTGGTCGGTCATCGTGTGGTGCTCGCGAACGGGACCATCGTCGAGACAAGTAGGCAGGCTTGTGCCGACCTCTTTTGGGCACTCAAGGGTGGTTCCAATAACTTTGGCGTTGTCACCCACATTACTCTTGAGACAATCCCGACAACTGGCATATATGGCGGCAGGGTCACATATCCTGAAGACCAGCTGGCATCTTTACAGAAGCTTACGTACCAGTATCAGGTCGACACGTCTGTTACCAACAGAGATGTACATGTCCTGCCAACCTATGTTTACGATGGTGCCTCCAATACCACCTTTGGCTTCTCGCCCATTGTCTACACCAAACCCGCTAGTGCCCTACCGCCGTCGCTGCAGCCCTGGCTTGACATCCCCCATTCCAATTCGACCATTAAAAACAGGTCGTATTATGACTTATCATCGGAGCTGGTCGCCGGATTTCCAGATGGGCTTGTGTATGTTGAGCCTTTTCGAAAGATATCATCTACACGCATCCTGGCCCACTAACAATATTTGACTCGCAGACAAGTCCACTACACCTTTACCGTTTACCCCTCCGAGGCCTATCTGGCCTACATACTGGCAAAGTTCTCTGAATTCTGCTCCAGCTTCGCTCATATTCAGGGTTTGGCCGGACTACACACTGTCATGCCAATTCCGCCGCGAGCTATTAACAAGGCTGGCAAGACCAATCCCTTGGGTCTGGACAGGGCCAAGCCAGGGAAGAGTCTATCTGGTGAGTGGCAATTTTGTTGACAGCCGGATGCTGCTGGTATGGGAACGTTTGGCTAACACGAAGTCACTCCCTATGCAGTTTTCTATATCGGCCTACAGTTTGATCTTGAGAGCGACGTCGAAAAGGTCTTTCCGGCTTGGGGCGTGTTTATTCGCACGCTCCAAGCGGAAGCCAAATTGCAGAACGTCCTGTTCCCTTACATGTACGGAAGCGGCGCCGGCTTGGCCCTGTACTTTACCTGCTGACAAAATGCTAACTTATGCCGTCTCGATAGCATGCTAACATACGCTGATGGCAGCCAGCAGGTAATTGCGTCGTATGGCGATAAAAACGTCGAGCGCCTGCAGACTATTCAGCGCAGGTACGATCCGACTCTGGTCTTCCAAAGGCTCGTCACTGGTGGACACAAGGTTCCTCTGTATCCGTTCTCTTGATAAAGAAGAACTTGATGAAGCTATTGCTTTTCCTTCGTATATGCTGAAGGCTTCAAACTATGCGCTTCATGTGAGGCATCCAGGAAAGGGTATTACAGTCTCTTTAATTTAAAAACCCGTCGCATGACTACGATATTTTCACCAGATTTCAATTTGTGTTAAAATAGACCTTATAATAAAATGGGGTATCCTCGTCACGGTGAACTCCCCCTCGTTGAAGCCTTACGAAGCTTCGGATATTCTTAACAGTGCTGTGGTGAAACTCCTCATTGTTGTAATTAAGACTGTCAGCAAAGTCCGAGCTCATGCGCTCCCGGAGTTTCACCCCAGGATTCCGGACTTATGAAGCCCGAACGAACGAAACTTTCAAATGATTCTCAGTGATCTTGTTTAAGATTGATTAATATGTGTAGATTGATCGGTAACGATAGCAATGAATCGACTTGATCAGAAAATTCAAGATGCCTTCAAAGTGTCAAATCAGCAGTCAATCACGAGGCTCTAGAATAAGAACACTTCTGAAACTGACCTTCCGCAATTA